GCAACGCTGCTGCTGCGCATCCCCACGTCCTCACTCCTCCAGAGAGCCCCTGCACCGTGGGACAAATTCAACCTTGAAGCCTCATCCACAACAGCATCCCCTGCAGATGGCTTGGCTGCCAGGAGAGGAGCCAAGGCTGGGAAGGGAGCTGGGCTTCCCAAAATCCTGCCTGGTGGAGAGGGAAGGCGAGAGCTGCAAGCAGCCAGCCAGGGCTGCAAAAGCAGGCAGAGCAGCTAATTCCAAACCAGCCCTGGAGAGGTCAGCGCTTTTCTGGCCTCAGACAGCTCCAAACTGACCCCATGCCACCCCTCCTGCCTTGCTGCTTTCCATCAGCCTGATTTTAGCCTCAATTGCCCACTTGAACGCAGCTGAATCCATTTACTCGGGCCGGCTGGGCTGCTCTAGCAGGGGGCAGGAGCTGCTTCAGCTCTGAGCGGCTGGAAAAGGCAACGGGAAATAAATGAGCTGCAATCATTTCTCCTCTGAGACTCCTGCCTTCTCTTCTTCTTCCTTTCTTTGGTGACTTCTCGATGGAAGGGCCAAAGAAGCGCTTGTCTCCCAACACCAGCATGTGCTTGGAGGGGGAAAAGGGACCAAGGACCATAAGCAGCTTCCTGCCTCAGTTTCCCCACCTGTAGATCAGTGGTAAAGGAGGGAGGGGGAGAAGCGATGAAGCATTTGGAAGGAGAGCTGTTTGCCATGAAGATTGACAGGAAGATTTTCCTGAAGGTTTTGAGAGCTGCACCTGCTTCATCATAATGGCATCATGCATATGGATAACACCGCTGACATTTCCCAGGGAGGTCGGGTGTTTTAATTTAAATCATTTTTGAAGGAAGCGCTGGAGAGAGGAGGAGAGGCCTCCTTTGATTCTCTAACGAACTAATAAATATGTGCTTGTCCCGCTCCTCCCAGAGCCTGAAAGCCTTTGGTGCAGGCAGGGAGGGAGGCAGGTCGCCCTGCACCCAGCGATGGGTGCTGAGAACGGGGGCATCCCCACCGCGGGGCCCCCAGTGGGTGCAAGGGCTCTGCGAAAGAAGGACACAGGGATGGAGCCACTCCAAAAATCAGTTTTATTAGGTGCTTAAAATAGAGCCTGGCACGCAATGTTCTCAGTTGGCTTTGTGGAGAGAAGCTCGGTTGCATATGAGATCCAGGACGCTGTTTGCACTGAGAAAGAGGAGGGGGGGTAGAGGGCAGAAGAAGCAGAAATGAGGAGTTTTACTGCTACCCTCAACGTGAAGGTAATAAAAAAAAAAAAAAAAAAGGAGAAATTAAACCCAATGAACAGCTGAGGAAGAGTGTTTTCTGGGGCAGAAACCAGTGCCCAGGGATGAGATCTGATGGGACAGGCTGGAGAAGAAGTGTTTCCCAAAGGAGACTTAGACATCCCAGAGGGATGGAGGGGGAGGCCCGGGGGGTGATGGAGGCCACTCCTGCCACCTCCCGCACCCCGCTGGGCCCCCCAGCACACTGGGCTTGGCTGGTGGCAGCCTAGAGGGATGTCAGTGTTGGTGACAGTCTCTTGGGCTTGAGAAATTTGGGATCCTCTTCAGTAGAGCATCTCTTTGAGATCTGCATCCCTGCGTGGTGCTTGGAAATGGAGACTGCTGTCCCCCGCTACCGGCAAAGCTGCTTCAGTGGTTTAATGACTTCTGCTGCTTAAAAAAACCCCACCAATATCTTGTTTCTCATTTGAGATGCCTTTGGGGGCAGGTTAAGGAGCCCTCTAGCCCAAAGCATCCTGGGTCAGCCTCTACCTTCCCCCCTTGCCAAAGCGTCTCTGGGTCCTGCCCGATCCGTGCTCTCTGGCTGGGAGATGAGTCCCCGCAGGGTGAGCCTGCCTTGGCGCCCGGGGGGCTGCTCCCCCTTGAAGGGAACTTATGATGCAATTAGATTTTGCTGTTCCTAAAAAGCCCTGTTCCCCCTGCCTGGCACCCAAAATAACCCTCGTGCGCACTAGCAAAGCCACCCCAGGTGCAGAATCCAGCCTCCAGGCAGAGGACGAGCTCTAAGTTTTGATCATGAGCCCTCTAAAACTTTGCAGCCACTATAATTCACCCGGTGAGGTTCATTTTTGGCTGGATGCCTCCTGATGAGGAACGTGAGCATGGCTCCCCTCTGCGGGGGGGCTCGGTGCCGCAGGGAGGGCGGCAGCCGGGGCTGCTCCCCCAGCAAACTCTGCTGGACATGGCAAGATGCAGAGGGTGAAGTAGGCTGTGGGGCTGGAGTGAGATGCTTGGCTCTCCCCTGCCTCCTCTGGCGAGGGCTGGCTTTAGTCCAGCCTGGACGCACTCGGTTGTGGCCTCTGCAGGAGGACGTGTCCCCGAGCAGATGGGACCTCATTGCCCTGGATAACAGGGACCGGTGCTGGTGAGGCTCTGCCCGCAGCTCCATGTGCCCCATCCAGGCTTGGGGACAGGGAGCAGCTTACGGAGCCTTTCCTCCAGCACAGAGCCCAGGAAATGCTGGTTGGTGCTTTCGTAATCAATAACAACACGAAATAGCGTATGAGGCACCCACCGTGCTCTCAGCTGATGTCCTTGGAGGAAGGGAAGGGATAGGAGAGGTGCACAGCAAAGCTCCTGTTTTGGGGTGGGGGTGATTTGGCCACCCCTTTCCCATGGGGAGCCTGGGCTGGAGCACCCACCCCGGGGACACTCGGCACAGGGAACCCCCAGGGACACGAGTCCTGCAGTGGTGGGTGCTGCTCTCCCAGTGCACCGCTCAGAGCTCCCTGGGCCGCTCCGCTCTTAAAGGAAATCAAATTAATTGCACGCATCTCGCATTTTACATTTTAGTCTCTGCTTTGCAGGCATCGCTTTTAGGTGAGAGCGGACAATTCAGGCAGCGGCGGAACCTTCAGCTCCCGTCCCAGCGTGGTGGCAGCAGCCATGATAACCATGATCAAAGAGGCTTTTTCTCTACACCTACAAAATTACAGCCTTTCAGGGGCTGGGTCCTTGTTTTGTTTGGGAACTGATGATGGTTTTTGCAGCGAATGGGATGGTGGAGGGGACAGGAGACACAGGCGCTGCCTGGGGCTCAGCCCATGCATCTCAGGGATGAGCGGGATTAAATAAGGGACGCGTTTACACCGGGGAAATTTCTCAGCAACTATTTCCACATGTTCCAGCACCAATTTAGCTGAACCACAGGGAATATATTTTGCATTTAAGTCTCCCCATTGAACAAAAGACAGAGCAGAAAGGCTGTTTCGGGCCCCGAGTCTGCAAACGCCGACGGTTGCACACCTGAGCGGAGCCGGTGGGGCTGGGGCTCCGCAGCCGAATAGTCAAAGCGGATCACGACTCTAATTCAGCGAAGTATTTAAGCCTGCACTTAACTTTCAGCTCGTGCTTAGGGCCCCGGGAGGTCTCGCTGGGTCCTGAACACATGCTGAAGCGCTTTGGTGAGCGGCGGTGGTGTGCTGAACGGGGACCGGGGAGAGCCATTACCCTCTGAAATAATTACCCGGCGAAGGCGCAGAAGCCGTTTCGTGTGCCTGGGCTGAGTGCAGAGCTTATCCAGCGGGGAACCATCTCGCCTTGGCTGCAAGATGAATGAGGAGTTCAGACAGCTTTTTACCGTGTCAAGGTTTTCTGGTCCCTTCAAAGCCCCGTGCCTGCAACAACCGCGCTGGCGCAACCAGCTTCGCCCGAGGGGGCACCACATCTGCACGGAGACCCCAACTCCTGGGGCACCTGCGCCCCATCAGCCCCCCCAGGTCTGGCTGGGATGCCTTTTCTGGGTCTTTCCCATGGAAGGACCCCCAGGTGAGGTGCCAGCCAGGCTTTGGATGCGCCCGTGCCCACACCATGGGCTGCACCGGGGTCTCTTCGGGCTGCGGGTGTGTTGGTAAAGGCAGGTTTTGGTTAGGGTTGCAGTTAAACCGACCTCAAAGTCCCTACCTCTAACAAGCAGGGATTAGGTTTAGGCCCAAGGAAAGGGAAGGTTTGTTCATGTTAACCGGGGGGGGAACATCGCCAGCAGCATCAGCGCCCCTTGAGCAGGAGAGCTCCTTCAAGCCTCACCGATTTGGGTTTGCCGTGTCCCACGGTTTGGCACAACCAACAGGGGGAACCTGGTGCTGCCCACCGCTCATTTGCAGTTTTAATTGCTGATCAGAGCAAGAAGCGGTGACAGCCCAGGAGAGCAGGGTTTGCATCCCCCCCTCCCCCCCCCCCCTTTCTTCCCATTTTTCCTCTTTTCTTTTTTAACATTATCCACAAAAGTTTACAAAATAGCCTTGAGATTACGCTTGCGGGACACAGGATCTGATCAGCCCTGGCAGAAGCCGGCCAGCCCCGCAGGGATGCCAATTAAGAGATGTGTCACCACCACCATTTCTGTTTCTTTTGCCCAAAGCCCCCTCCTTTCCCCTCTGCTTCTCTCCAGCTGATGGCCACAAGCGAACAACAGGGCAGCGGGAAGGTGCTGGGGGTGGGTTTGTGGCTGATTATCTGAGTGCTCAAAAAAAAAAAAACAAAACCGAAAAAAAAAAAAAGGAAAATAAACAAAACCAGAACATGTATCCCAAAGGGAAAGGCCTTTTTTTGTGTTTCCAAAACAGAGACTGTCCAGCGATGGAGCTGACACCACTGGGGTGTCTCATGGTGCCAGGGGGAGGTGGGGAAGGAGTGATCTGCTGATCATCTGTATGGCTCTTGGACCGCTCGGGGCATCGTCCCCCTGGGGCTCGGGCCCCTCCGAGCCCTCCCAGCGGGTGCTTTCAGGAGCCATGCACAGAGCCAGACCCTACACGTGGATCCAGACCCTGCCAGGACCACAAAGAGGCTCTGCAAGCCCCGTGGCCAGCTCTGCTCCTCTCCATCTGCCACGCCGCTTTGACTCTTGGTCAAGTCCATGAAATTCTTTTTTTGTTCAGTTTTATAGTTTAGGTTTGTTTTTTTTTTCTTTTTTTTTTGGTAAAAAATAGTTTCTTCCTCCCCACCCCAAGCCACCCCTCCCCGGAGTCAGCCCCACCAGTGCATCAGCCTTCAGCAGTCCAGGGGGGCTGCTTGTACCTCCACAGCCAGGAGTTGCCCCCCACGCTGCCCCCGAGCCCAGGGCTGGGTGAGGGGGGGATAGACCACACGCACGGCTGTGGCACCCCGGAGCAGCTCCCCCCCAACGCCGTAGCGAGCTACAAGGCTGGCAGCAAGGAGCAGGAGGCAGAGGACCAGCACCATCAGGAGGCTCTGCCTGCCCTCCAGGAGCTGGTAGCGGTGGGCAGCCTCTTTAGTCCTGGCGTTCACGCAAGCCACCTTGGCCTGCAAGTCTACAAAGGCCACGTGGAGGCAAGCCCAGTACTCTGTGTCCTGGTGGAGCCGAGTGATGTTGTACATGTGGGTCCCCATGGGGATCCGGGCCACATTGGTCATGTCCAAGTTGGAGCTAAGCAAGAAGCTGGACCAGGTGAGGTTGGAGGAGATGGTGTTGAGATGCGGCTTCCAGGCAACCAGGATATGGTAGGCCTGGACATCTGCCACCACCAGCTCCAGGCTGTCCTCACTGAGCGGGAAGGAGTGGTTGACTGTCATGCTGATGCTCTTGGTGTCTGCCCCGAGGAGGTTGTGAGCCACGCAGGTGTACAGCCCGGCCTCCTGAGCGGAGATCCCATGAATCTCCAGCGTCCCTTCGGGATGCACCTTGTACCGCCCATCTTCTGCGTAGGGGATCAGCTTCACCCCTGAAGGAGTGACCCAGTAGATCTCCGGATCTGGCTCTGCCAGAGCTCGGCAATGCAAGGAGACATTGTCACCATCCGCCACCTCTAAGTGGGAGGGGAAGCTCTTGGTGGAGATGAGAGGCAGGCACCGATCCGTCATCTCCCGGAAGGGGACATCCCGAATGTGCCTCCTCTTGAGGTCGGGGGGCTCGGCGCAGAGCGTGGACTGGGGTTCAATGAAGCGGATGTGGTTTTCCGTGCTGTTGACCCAGCGGATGACGCAGTCGCAGCGGATGGGGTTGCTGTGGATGCTGATCTCCTGCAGGTTGGGCAGTGACTCAACCGTCTGCTTATGCAAGGCACTTAGGGCGTTGTTGTTGAGCATGAGGGTTTCCAGTTGAGGAAGGTGGTGGAATGCATTGGGGTGGATAAAGGACAGCTTGGGGTTGTTGGTCACATCCAGCTTGGTCAGCTCAGGGAGGTTGATCAAGGCAAACTGGTCTATGGACACCAGCTCCTCCATGTTGTTGAGCCCCAGCTCTTTGAGGTGCAGCATGTTCGTGAAATCGCTTTGCTTGACCCTCTGCAATGGGTTTTTGTTCAGATCCAGGAACTTAAGGCCAGGAACTTGCTGCAGTGCCCGCTTGGGGACGTTCATGAGCTTGTTGTCATAGAAAGAGAGGCTCTCCAGACTCCGCAGCCCTTCCAGCGCATAGTCTGAGATCTCCCTCAAGTTCATCCCAGCCAAAACCAAACTCCGCAGGTTCGACAGAGGCCTGAAATTCATATCCAAGATCGCATCCACCCTGTTGCCTCCGATCATGAGGATCTCCAGGCTGGGGAGCATCTGGAACCAGCGGCTGTCAACTGTCCTCAGCAGGTTGGAGTTGAGGTGGAGGCGCAGCAGGCTGCCAAGGCCAGAGAAGGCGCGGGGAGCGATCCTGCGGAGCTGGTTGTGGTTCAGGTAGAGCTCCTGCAGGTTGCCCAGCCCAGGAAAGCTGCCATCAGGCAGCTCGGCCAGCTGGTTCTCCTCCAGGTGCAGGCTGAGCAGCTGGGGCATGCTCTTCAGGCCAAAGTCCCAGACATCAGAGAAGCTGTTCTGTGACAGGTCCAGCTCCGACAGGTTTCTGAGATAATCCAGCTCACTCTGCTCAAGCCTGGCGATATTGTTGCTTTGCAAGAGCAGGGTCTGGGTTCCCTCTGGCAGGTCTTCTGGCACAGCGGAGATAAACAAGTCATTGCAGTCCACCGTGGCAGCCTCTCGGTACACCGAGCGGGGGGTGTACCACGGCCTGATCTGGCAGACGCACTGTGGCGGGCATTTGACCTTCCAGGGCACGATGGGGATGGCGGTGACAGCCACCACGCAGAGCAGAAGCAAGCTGGTTTGGAAGCCTCTCATTTTTGGCTGGTGGGACCAGCTTCCTCCCAGGCAGGAAAGGCTCACAGGGTGCATCTGGAGCAGGGCATGGGGCGACAGCTGGGTGGGGACAGCATCCACGGGAGAAGATGCTCCATGCGAACCCCTGGCACCGATCAGCCCCTGCTGCCAGCTCCCCGGTCCGGCCTCCCCTGCCAGGAACACATAACACCCGTGATCAGGGCTGGTGCCTTCAGTCAGAGCTTCTCCTTTTCTTCCTCCCCAAATGATTCATTTTTGCACTGGGCTGCATCTTTCGGATTCCTCCTCAAGGTCATTCCTGAAAGAGGCCAGAACAACAAGTTGTGTTAGAGGAGACCTCATGCACGCAGCAAACAAGCGTGTTGGAGTTTAATCTCTTTTATATCCATAGCATTAATCATAGAATCACTTTGGTTGGAAAAGACTTCTAAGATAATCGAGTCCAACTGTTAACCTAACCCTGCCATCCCACCACTAAACCCTGTCCCTAAGCACCTCATCTATCCTTCTTTTAAATACCTCCAGGGCTGAGGACTCGACCACCTCCCTGGGCAGCCCATTCCAGAGCTTGACAACCCTTTTGGTGAAGAAGTTTTTCCTAATGTCTAGCCTAAACCTGCCCTGGCGCAGCTTCAAACCATTCCCCCTCATCCTATCGTCAGTTAATGGCTCTCTCCCTCCCAGCCCAAGAGGTTTTGAGTGTAATAAGCCCATGGATGCTATGCCCAGTGCCACCAGCAGCCCATAGACCTCGGGCCAGCCTGGCTCAAAGGCTTTCCCTATGAGCAGAGCTGGAGCTGCAGATGCTGGGAAGAGAAAATCTCCATGGGGTAACTTTTCTCCAGGCTCTCAGGACTCTGCTTTCTGCCCATCATCCTCCCCAGCACCAAGTACCCCCATCCAGGAGCCCCCAGCCCTGTTTGCAGACCCCTAACATGTTTGTTCCCAGCTGGGTTTATGGAAGAAATGTGCCCAAGCACAGATCCATTTCTTGGCACCTCTTGCAGGAGCCCTGCAGCAACGCAGGGACCACAGGCTCAGCTTGCTTCGCACTGGAACAGGTCACCCCACACCCACCTCATCCCTTTCATTTCTACACTAGCAAAGCAGTAAGCACAACCACGTCCACACACACTTGGGCCTCAAGGCATAAAGTAGCCAAAACTGGGGGGCTTGATGTCCTAGGGGGCTTGATGCTGAGCAGAAAGCCAAAAAAAAAAAGAGCAGAACACGAGCAAGCGGGATGGGGATGGGACACTAGAACAGCTGCACAAACCCCCTCCACAGCAACCCTCCCCAACTCTTTTAAAGCACTGGCCCCGGGTGGGGGCAATTTCCCAGGAGCAGGAAGCCCTGATTGGGCTCATTAGAAGCTCCTGGGGCAATGTAGAAGCCCCTTAACCCCCTCCATGCTGGGTGCGTCCCTGGCGTCAGCCCCTTGCCTTGCACCCTTTCTGGGGAAGAGGGGTGTGGGGTTCCTCAGTGGGCATTTGGCGAGGGGCTGGGGGGGTATGGGCCCCCCGTACCTCCCTGCCCCTCTCCCCGTCCAGCCGAGGGGTTCGCAGGAGCCAGAGCCGGCCACCACCCCACCTTTGATTTTTTGATTTGCTGCAGCTCTCCTGACCCATGCTGACACAAATCAAACCAAGCCCCAAAGCTTCTCCCTGTCTTAAAAGACTCTCACACAGCAGGAAAAACATTAAAAAGCAGCCGGAGTGGGAAAAGAAAGTTTCTCTCCAAGCAGCTCTATTTTATCACCCCCTTGTTCTCCCTGTAAGGGCTTCCAACCAAAGTTTATTCAGCATCGACTCATCCAAGCCTTGCTCCAGAATTGATCCCGCACACTCCCCTTCTTGCCTGCTGTGAGGGCATTGGCTTTTAAACCATCTCCCGGAGAAACAGCATTAAAGGAGAGGAAGGCTGTATTGATTTCTGCATCCTTCTGATGGACCCTCATCTTTCTTTTTAAGTGCACAAGCATTTCTGTGACTATAAATCTCTCCGTCCATTAAAATATTATAGAATCTTTTCTCCTTTAAAAAATAATATGGAGGAATGGTTGGTTTGTTGTTGGGTTTTTTTTTTATTATTTATTTCCTTAAGGTTGTGAAGAAAAGCCCAGAAAAAGCACCGTGTTTCAAACTCCATTTTACAGGGGAGACTCCCCAGTTCCACTGTTGGGTGGTATCTCTACAAGGCTTGTGTTTGTAACTGGGTTTTATCCCTTTTCCCCAGCACGGGACGGGGTTGCAGCACTGATGGTTGTGGAAAGTCTTGCGTATGAGATGGTGCTGTAAGGGTCCGGGTGTTTGTATAAGTAATAGGATCAGAAAAATGCAGAAAAATGACATTTTTTGGAAACTCTGGGCACTAAACTTGGTACTTCATGGTTTCAAGTGGCACGGAGCAAACCAAACAGGGAGGGCACTGGCAGCTTGTGGTCCCCGCTGCGGGGTCCAAACCCCGGGATGAGGACAGTCCTTGCGAGGGACGGAGCTGACCCCCCTCTGCCGTGACAGCGGTGACACTCCGGGGACCCGCACCATGAATTCCTGCAGTTCAGCCATGGGCTGGTGGGGAAGGAGTGGGCAGGAGCCCGCTGGTTGTCTTTTATCCATTACCCCGTGAAGTCACGCTCATTATTTCTTAATTAGGCACCCAAGAAGCCTGCAGGTTGCGTGCAAACTCATTTAGCTTTTGATTGTGCTGCTCCCAAGATGGATGGTGGGATGGCCCAGGCAGCCCAGTTTTACTCCTATTGCATTCATTTGGGTTTGAAAGCCTCCCCCCCTGCGGAGCTGCAACCCCGCCAGCCTGGGGGGGTCGGTGTGGGAGCCGGGGTGAGGGATGGGGGTCCCGGGACTGAGCTGGCCCAGGGGAGACCTGGACCTTGAGGGGCTGACACCGGGGAATGGTGGGGTCCCTTCCCCGTGTGGAACTTTGCAGGGATTCATGTGCATGCATGCACAGACCCTGAACTCCCACCTGCCCCGTCCATCCGCAGCTCCCCAGCAGCACCAAAGCACCGACTGTGCCCCAAAAGCCCTTATTTTGCCCCCAGACTCAAGCACAGAACAAGACAGAAAAGCAGAGGGACCCGGGATCTGAGGCTAACAAATAGAGAGATCAGGCTCGAGACACGGCTGAGGTTGGGAGGCTAAGTGGTGTCTCCCAGGGAGCCCAGATTTCATCTCCTCTCCAAGACAGATGGATTTGCTGCCTTTGCAGGCGGTGGGAAGATGCTGCCCCAGATATTGGGAGCCTTGGTAAAACCAGGGAGAGGAAAGGGACAGCAAGGAAGGGCGGGCAGGGTTTTCTGGGGACCAGGACCCCCCAGCCAGGCTGGGCTCCGGTGGGGCCACGGGTCCCACGTTCCCCTCCGGTGCCGGCAGCCCCCGGCTGCTATTTCGGGCTCTTCCTCAGTGTGGGCTGTGGCACGGCAAGAGTGACGGCAGGGAGCCGGGTGACGTTCCTGCTCAGAGTTTATTTTTTTTTCAAAAAATGTACAGCCAGGGCGCTGAAGCATTTGTTGCAGTGCCCTGAACACTGGGAGATGGAAAACACCCCCAGTTTCCCTTTTTGCCCCAGCAGGACCCAAGCCCGATCCCCACACCAGGGATGCTGCTTGCCTCTTCCACAGTTTCCCAGCATTTACCCAATTCCTTGGCCTCCCTAAGGCATTTCTGTGCCTTCTGCCTTCAAGGTGAGGTTTCTCCCAGGTACAAATGGCCATGTCCCCTTCCACACAGCTCCCTGCAGGTCGCAAGGAAGCTGGGGCCCCGGTGTGCCTTTGGTAAGGGGTTTATCCAGAGGCGGTCCCCAAGGACACGAGACGCAAAGTGCCAGGGGTCCGTGGCATGGCCTCGAATGGTATCAGCCTGAATTTGCCACCAGCCCAGGACATTGTCTGTGGTGTCACTTGCTGATGGGGGCTCAAGGAATCTCTTTCCATCCCAGCCAGGCGTGTTCAGGGATGGAGAGGGGGAAACAGCAGAGAAATATGGAAGGAGAAGGAATAAGGGGGAATGAGAGCACCACAGGGGGATAAAGAAGGAGGAACAGAGGTGAAAAGGGGAAAGAAAGGGACAAAGAGACCATCAAGGAGTGAGGTCGGGAGAGGGAGATGAGATGGGGAGTGCAGGAGGGATGGGGTGCGCAGTGCCGGGGAGAAGGGAGTGCGGCTGCATGAACAGGCGGCAGAAACCCAGGGAGGGAAAAAAAATAAAAAAAATAGAAAAGCAATGAGAATGAGAATTGATGAGGCACAGAGAAGGGAAGAGTCTTTTCATCAGCAAGTTTGCTGGATGAAGCCAGGAGATAAATCACCCAGTGGAAGGAGCCTTGGTCTCAGTGCTTGCACAGGCTGCCTCTCTCCCTCTGTCATCTGTCTAATAGCCCGGCTTGGGGAGATAAATGGCTGCAGCTGAGCCCCGGGCTCTCCTGCCCTTCCCTCTCCCGTACCGCAGCCAAAGAGCCCGACACTTCCCCCAGAGTGCTGGGGTGGGAGGCGATGGACAGCCCCTGCACCCCGAGGGGCACGGGGGGGACCCCGACCGCTCCCGGGGTCCCTTGGCTGGGGAGAGCCGGCAGCCCACGGCTCCTCTCTGCAGGCAGCAGCTCTCCCGCCGCCATGTCCCCACGGGGTAGCAGACGTCCCAGCCCGCACCACATCTCCCCAAGGGTCGTGAGCTCCTGCCAAGCCCCTATCTTTTCTGGGTGAAGGCTTTACGCAAGCCGTGCGCCGTGCAGCCTGCGCCGCGGCCATCGCTCTCCAAGCTGCCAAGCCCCCGTCTTTGCCAGGTGAAGTCTTTAAGCAAGCAGCGCACACCGCAGCCAGCGCCGCGGCCATCGCTCTCCAAGCTTTCCAGCGCTGCTGGACTTCGGCGGCTGCTAAGCCTTCATGTCCCTGTCACCGGCCCTGCCAGCTCCCAGCGGAGGCAGATGAGAAGTGGCAGTCGGATGCTGTGGGAAAATCCCCGTCCCCTCCCTTCCCCCATCCC